CTCTTTGACATTTACTTGCAAAGCATTTGGAATTTCTGGGCCTAGGCTACAACTCTGAAATAAATAAAAAGAATTTCAGTTTACTTGGATGATTTGATTCTTTGGGTGTAAGACATCTTAGTGGTGGAAATCAAAATTGGCCCTGACACTAAACATGCTTTTATTCTAAAATGCTTGTTTCAGGCAGATGCTGTAGCCATCTCTTCACCGAGTTCATGTAAATTCAGGAGGTCTCGCACATATGCAAAGACAGGGCAGAGTGATAACACACTGCTTGTTATTTTTCACTCGATCTTTAAATGTGGTCTGCCATTCAAAGCAAGGACACTATAGTGGGGTCACACGATCACGTCTTACTCAACAGAATTCAACTATTCACACATTGAAAAGAGGAAGAGAGAGCGTGCAAGAAAAGACAAAACAACATTTTAAATAACATGGGTGATCTTATCTGCTGTTCCGTTCATTGAGTCATGTCCAGGACTAAATATTAAAGAAGAGATGAATATGCAGATTTACTTATATGTATCCAGCACTCTGTCAGTCCGTATACACAAAACAATGCATATTGTATTTCATGGGTGCTATGAGAGATGTTTATGAATAACGTAGACTCTCTGTGATTATTACTTAGGCAAGGACTTCAGAATCTAAGCCTTAAACAAAGTCAAACGTCACTATACTGCTTTATAAGAGGAAGATGCTTTAAGTTGTTGTTTTTTTTCTGGTAGGGAAAAGAACTTGCTTTGAGTCATCTACACACCCTCAGTGGCCTCCTATAACCTGAGACAGTAGCCTGAGGTTCAGAGTTCAGGGTTGGTCATGAGACAAAGTAAGGTAATTAAATGAGTATATTTACCTGGTTGATGCAACTTGTCATGCAGTTTAACTTGATATAAAATTGCATGAAATATAAGCAGGGTTTTGAAACCAGGGGTCTCCTTTTGCACAGCTAATATTGCTAAGTGCTAGCTACTAGCAAAGCAATGAGTTAGAAGCCTTGGGCAATTTGTAGGTGAACTCTCAAGGGAGAGTTTACAAATCTAGTAGAAGAGGTAGATACATACATAGTGAATTAAGAAGTAAGTAAACACAGAGTGAATACAGGGGAGAATATGAATATGCAGATCAGGTAAAACTGGGAACAGGAGTATAACTTTAAAATATAATTACTACTTAATTATCCACTAATAAATAGACGGGGCTTTGGAAGCTCAGGCCGGCACTTTCTTACAATAGCCTTGGTTTAATTGGTCTCAGTGGCTAATACTCAGTTGTGTTTGTATTCCATGGGACAACTACCGATTTCGGCCTATTAGATAATAATTAACCCATTCTTCCCAGCTAACAGAACCTCACTTTGATTAAAGGAGAGAACCTCCCTCTCCGAAAAAGCCCCCTCACTTTTCCAAATTCGTAGGCCCCTGAGTATTCATGTGACCTATTTCGACCCAATGAGAAACAAGCAGAAGTCTGTAGAAGTTCTAAGAAAGCTTTTGCTTTATTAAAAGAGACATATGTTGAAGCTCCAACCCACCATGTGACTGTATTAGAGATATGACCTTTAAGGCAGTAATTAAGGTTAAATGAGTTTATAAGGATGGAGACCAAAACCAATAGAACTGATGTCCTTATAAGAAGACGCACAAGGAGTGCATGCCCAGAGGACACAGCGAGATGGCCACCGGAAGGTCTCACCAAAAACCAACCCTACAGGTACCTTGACGCTGGGCTTCCAGCTTCCGGAACAGAAAGAACACAATGTCTGTTGTGTGAGCCACCTAGTCTGGGGCAGCCAAAACAGACCACATAGGCCCCAAGGGGATGTGAAATTTGGTCATGGAAGTGGTAAACTGTGATCCCCACTATCTCTTCCTACCGGAGTTATCCACCTCATTGACACCTTTATGTTCATCCAGTTGATAAACTTTTGTGCTTTGATTATTTTATGGGTGGAGTCCCTAATCAAGTGAGAAGTTTAGGAGAGAATGAGGGGCCTTCTCCCTATGAGGAAGGTGAACATTTCCAAAAAGCTTTGATTTCTACAGGCAGAAAAGGGGAAAGGGAATTTCAGGGTGAGTAAAGACCCAGAAGCTGGAAAGGAAAGCGCAGCCTCCTTCGTTTGTTTCATTAATATTTGTTTTGAGCACCTATGATATGCCAGACAGTACTGGACACACAAGGGACACAGTAAGTAAAAGACATCTGGCCTCTGCCCCTAGGAACGTGTTCTGAAATTATCCAGAGCACAGAGAATGTGGAGGAGGTGATGCTAAGTAAAGCTTAAAGAACAGGATGCAAACAACTTATGGGAAGTTCCGAACCCTCTCTCTAGTAGTAATTTGTTGATTCGGCAGGAGGCAAACGGGAAGCCACTGCAGGTCACTAAGCAGGAGAGTGCCCTGGTCATAGTCGTCTTTTAGGAATATGAATCTGGAAGCTGCGTGTTGGCTCAACTGGCATAGGAAGAGGTTAGAGACTGGAAAAACAGTTAACGGATAATTGCTAAGGCTCACGTAAACTGTAGTGAGATCCTGAATCAACGTAATATCAAAATCATAAATATTTGCTGAGACTATGCCTTACGCTGATATCGACAGAAAACCTACAAATATTCTCTCAAACTGATGGAAATACTATGTTGTATTAGCCTTGGAAACATATCCAAAATACAGGGGTTCAGTCTTCTAATATCAAAGGCAACAAAACAGAGACCATTTGGCCAAGACTATCGTAAGCTGGGAAGCAGTAGCCACGTTGCCCAAAGTACTTTAGAGCAATATAACTCAATGTGTCAGGTTCAAACACCAAAAAGTCTCCCACAACTTTGTCCTCATTAATTTCAGCATATTATGATAGATCAGCTAGGAATTATGGGATTTAAATTAAGAGAATGAAGTTTGAATCTCTATTCTGGAAACTTCTACCTGTAGAGACAGGTGGTCAGGGGCTAGTGACAGACAGGGATGGACTCCTGCTCCTCCACCCTTCCTAAAGTGAAGAACTATGCTCTCTCCCAGGCAGCCCATTCCTCCAGTGTTCACCATTCGAACATTTGCTCAAACGACAACTGTTGACCCAATGGCTTCCATGTGTAGGCTCTGCTCTTGGCTACGGAAACAACCACAAAACTCCTCATGGAATCTACCTGGCCATGGGAGGAGACAGAATACATCGAAACATGGACTGAACAGATCGGCTGGGCTATGAAGACAATCAGATAAAGGAGACTGATAGACATAACGAATCCCATGGGCCAGCACCGCGCTGTAGCTCAGGCATAACCCGCAGTCCTAGAACCGCCCTAACAGGTGCCCCGTACGTGCATGCCGAAGTGAGGGGCACAGCTCTACATGAGCGGCCCAACGGCAATCAGAGGAGGCCGGTGACAGCCCTGGAAGTGACAAGAGCCACCCTGTTGTCCTCCTGGCACGGTCTTTTTCAAATCAGGAGGTTGAAGAAATGTCTCCTCTTTAGAAAACTAAGAAATCTCTAAGGCATGGGTTTTTATAATTTTGCTTGGCTTGTTTCTATTTTTGTTTTCAATATGGTTATTGGGATACTTGCCATTAAATTATCTGGGGTACTTATTAAAAACACAAATTTCTGGGCCCCTACTGCAAACCCACTGAATCATAATAACTGCAGGAGAGGCCCAGGAAACTGCATTTCTAACAGGCTCCTAAGTAACGCTGATGCCACATTACCGATTTAAAACAAAAACAACAGCAAAAGTGCACAAGGCCTCCTTTCATCTCAGTTGTATGTGTCTCCATGAAAGGTTCTGTAGAAAGCTCTTACGTAAACTTCCTTTGTCAAACTCTGCGGGCCGGTCACAAGTTGGCTTTGGAGAAATACGCTGGGAGACAGAGCCCGCGTGATGGGGGCATTCCATCAACTGATCCATTCATTCAGAAAAATTCAATGTGCAGAGACACTGGATGGCTTCCGTGGAAGCACCTCTCTGTCTGGGAGCCGAAGGAGAGACTTTCTAGAATATTCCCTACCTGTGAAGAGGGCATGGTAGAAGAGGCCTCTCTCCTTGTCCTGATGAGAGCAGACATCAAATAAGTACGCTTTGATGGGCCCATCGATAAAGTCAGCAGCAAAATCAAAGAGAACCACACCTAGCATGGTGATGGTTATGGTCCAAATCAGCCTTCTCCTTGGGTCAGCAATCAAAGCTAAAAGAGGAATAACATCGGTTACCTAAATCCTGGTTTGAAATCATTTGCATTCTTATTCCCACCAAAACTTTGTCATCGAATTATCTCCTTTTGCTTCCATTTTGTTTTGTTTTTCCAAATAAAAACTTCATTATTTTTTCAGGCTTTAAAAATTATGCAAATGAAAGTACAGAAAAGGCAAATCTGTAGAAACAGAAAGCTGATTGAGTGGTTGCTTAGGATTGGTGGGGAGGAGGGAATGGGCGGTGACTGCTAACGGCTACCGGGTTTCTTTTTTGGATGATGAAAATGTTGAGGAATTAGATAGTGGTGATGCATTTTAGTTATATCTTGCAAATAACTAAAAAGCACTGAATTGTACACTTGCAAATGGTGACTTTTATAGTATGGGAATCATATCTCTTTAAAGCTGTTCAAAATGTATGTGTGCTTATTGTAAACCATTCCAATGATAGAGAAAAGCTGAGAAAAATGCTTCAGATCCCAGGCCGCAGGTATGGTCCTCCTTCACACATCCCTTCATGCACTTACATAGAGAGAAAGGTGTACATCTTTGCTCTAATGTTGTGCTTCTCAAACTTTAGCACGCATAGCCATCACTTGGATAACTTGTTGAAATAGATTGTTGGGCTTTGTCTTCCATGACCCTCCATGTTTCTCTCATTATTCCTCAGCAGGTTTGAAGTAGGGCCTGAGAATTTGTATCACAAGAGCCCTATCGATGCTACAGATCAGAAGGCCATGCTTTACAACCAACTCTCTTTCTATCTTTGCATTTCAATTAATGAAGAGCAATTTCACAATTTTTAACAGATACAAAATATCCGTTCTATGGATATGCCACAATTCATCCACCCAATTTTAACAATTTTCCCTTGCTTTCATTTTCTTAAATAATATGTAACATGTGCACATTTTTAAAAATTACACTATAAAAATAAGTGAAAAATGAGCCTATCCTCTACTTCTCACCTCCAGGCCATTAGTATCCCTCCCTAGAGGCAACTGTTCTTACCAGTTTTTTGGTCATTTTCCAGATTCATTGCTGCATTTATGTATTTATGCTCTCTTTTAAACACATGTAACTAATTATCCTGCCTCATTATGATTCATTCTGTTAGCCTGAGAGTTAAAGACCTAAAAATGTGTGCTATTTTTAAGTTTAAGATATTTTCAATGTAACTTTTTATGCACTACCACCAATTACTGATTAATTGGTGGCTGATTAATGACTAGAAGAAGTACTCACCATCAGGTTTGTTTTTGTCCAGAATTTGTAGTGTAAAAACGTGCCCTGGAGCTGACAGCCTGATGCCCTGCACCCCTAAAAGGCTCTACATAAAGTTATGTACAGAATTAAGCCATAGACACACTAATAATTTATTGTAAATATTTATGGAGCCATTTAGCAGCTGTTTAATTTGAAGAAGCACTAAATAAAGTGTAATGGGCTCAAAAAGCATCACAATGTATAAAAAGGTGAAAATATTTCATAAGAAAAAATTAATCCTATTTTTAAATCCTCGCAATAAAAAAACAAAAAATGTACCCTGATGTTTCTAAAAGTAAAGGCTCTCCAGCCTTAGAATTTGGGTCATTCAAAGGTGGAAGTTCAGGGTAACCTAGGAGAGATAATTGGTCCTAAACCACTTTTAAGTGTCACTTAAAGAAATTCAAATACTCCTATTGAGCTGCGGAACAGGACCCTTTTCGCCTTGTGCAGCCCACTGACCTGATACAATCGCGTCTCCGTTGAGGTAGAAACCCATGCCCAAGAGCATCATGACGGCCAAGGTGAGGATGTAGGGTCTGCGCCGGCCCCACGTGGCATGGCAGTGGTCGCTGGCCGATCCCACCACGAGCTGCAACAGGAATCCCAAGACCGGGCTAAGGAGCCACACCATGCTGTACAGGCTCCTGGGCAGGCCAACGCTGAGCAGGACAGGGGTCACGTAGGCCGCCTCCACCGCATAGCAGAACTCCCGGCCGAACATGGCCATGCTGTGCA